TCAAAAATGACCAACTCCTACAATCCAAAAGAAACTATTTCTTATCAAAACAGTGTTAAATGGTAACTTTGATCAATTTCAAATGCAGCTACATATTTTTGTTTTGAGAATTCCCATTTTACCTCTTAATTGCTTGAATTTATACTACTATAGCTTGTTTGCAAAAAGAAAATCTAATCTATTTTTCAGGATATTTATTGTAATATACAAAAACCCCTCTTGCATCAAAGATTCCAGAAGAAGTGTCCTGGAAATTGCAGTTATCTACCCTACCCCTCCAACCATTACCTGATTCTATTGAAAATATACTGTGGAAATCTGATTTTCCTGACTTCCTTTTTCTGAGTATATTACATGTACATTCAATTTCAACATATCTGAATTATCAAATACATGCATTTGATTCCCTTGAATATTTAAAGTGATCATCCTGTCCTTACTTCGCATTTGTGAGTATATTTCAGGTGCTTTAGTTAGTAGAATCCAATAATTACATGAAAATGTATACATATTTTTGATATGTTTTTCATTACATATGCGAAAAGACCATCTGTTTGTTATAATTTAAAGAAAAATATATAATCTATATACAAGTAACGAAAAGTTTAAGTTCTATCACATTATAGAAGACAAATGAGGGGGAAAATGAAGGGGAGGGGGTATTTCTTTATGTAATCATCAATAGTGAAATGGGTCTAATTAAGCACAGCAATTCTTTGAATAAATGTGGTTCTGTGAACTGATATTTTTGCATACTGACTCATTGTTTTTTTCAAAATAATGATATTTAGTGAAATACATGTAAAAATGAGTAAGTTTATGTAATTTCAGTGATATCGCAATAATTAAGCCCCTTTAATTTTAATTAATACTAAGTAATTGCATCAAAATTTGAAAAAATAAATGTGACAGTGCCCAATATTATTTTCAAACAAATAAATTTTTCTCAGAAAAAAAATTGCCTTATTCTGTTAAGATTTGTTATGCTGATTCTTCAAACTCTTTGAAAATGTGTACTGGGAAAGGTTTACCCCCCTTGTGTGTAGGTCTTTCTACCTATATGAATAAGAGTCAAATAAAAGAAATCTGGTGAGTTCTGAAAATGGAATACATCAATGAACTTATTTAGAGAAGAATTAGACTAAATCACATATTTCTGAAAATTGGTGTTTTCTTGAAGGTGGCAGAGGATAGTTTTTTTTTAATGCCAAACATGTGCCGAGGGGGTACACATATACATGCGATCCATAAAAACATGTACATGGGTACAGTTTTCCAGGGGCTAATTAATTACACTTCATATGCCCATGGCTCACAAATTATGTCAACAAATTACATGTAATCTGTCTATTAGAGTGCACATGTACCAAAAAGGCACCTGGGGACTCCCCAAATTTTGGCTTGTTTTTTCCAAGATTTGGGCCTCAGTCGCACCCATACAACCCACCCCCAGGCCCGAGCAAGCAGGATAAAACACCCAGTAGTCTGTAAATCAATGCATGCCCTAATGAAAATTCACCAATTGATATGGGGCTATTCACCTTCCCTCTGAGATACACACCTTCTAAGGCCTACTGCTTTTCAGCTGAATTTCCTCTGTAACTGACCATGTGTCTTAGTTTCGCATTTACAACTCTGTATATAAGCGTCATAGTGACACCTACATGTTGCACATCATTTTTTTCAGCAAGCACTCTGCTACACTGCAAATGTGTCCCATAATTATTCTAATCATTTTTCTACATAAAATATCAATCAAACAGGGGATATCTCAGTTTTTTAAGAAATTTGACCAGGTCTTTAGTACGAAACTATCCCCTGCCACCATGGGTAAAATGAGATTAAACAAGAATGACCATTTTGTATTTTTAACATGTAACTATAAACAAAATAATTTTGAAAAAATAATTTAATACTTTTTATATTTTGTGGCAAAAAAAAAACGCTTGCTGTTTGTGTATATCCAGCATGCTATAAATCCCGACTGCGGGAAGCATGGCATTAAAACACAAATTCAATAAACAAAAAGACAACCAAAAAAAAAATGAAAATAAAATAATGAATCCGGAAAAAGGGAAAGCTATAAAGATGAAATCAGAGTTCAAGTCTTTCATAAATATTAGCTGGTCTGCAGAGTGAAGTTCATACATAACGAGTCTGAATACAGTATAATCCCTATTAACTGCCCTGCCCCTATAAGCGCCCCCTAGGTCTTTTTGAATTGTTGGGAAATAAGGGCCCCCTGTACAGTGATTAAAATCCTCTAGAATCATATCGAAAGTCCGCCACAATTTGAAGAAAGTGAAAATGAAACTTGGTTATTGGGTAACTTGTACGTAAAGTATTCCTGGATGTGAAAGATTTTTAGAACGACCTAATCATTATGCATTTCTGAAAGTGAAAGTTACCTAAAAAATTAGTCCTCCTTGTGTATTCTCTAATTTCTCGGTGGAAAATGAATCATATAGCATAATTTCGATAAATTATCTTAACTTAAAGGAAAGTTAGACAATCTTTTAGTGGTTCTCTGAATCTATTTTTTTTTTTCAAAAGATTTTTTGAAGTTAAAATATAAAATAAAAAATTATTAGAATACCAAAATAACCGCCCCCTTTTTGCAATTTTCTAAGCACCCGGGGCGGTTAATAGGGATTATATGGTAATGGTATAGTTTGTTTTTTTGGGGGGTGTGAAATGCACAAACACTGCATGATTATATTTAATTTTCACTACGTAATAATGAAAATATATAGCAGATACTTCAATAAGAATACAAATGAATAAATTAAAAAAAATTATTAATAACAAGTGCATATTTTTTTCAAGTTTACTTTCTTTGGACAGTCCAACTTGTCTACGATCTATCCCAATTTAAAGGACTTATCGCATGTTTCTAAATTATTTGAAATTAAAAGCGTATTACGTTCCTTATGTCCACAATTTATAAATTCTGTGTTTTTACTGTGAATAAATCGCGATAATTAACCAATTATTGACTCAAATGAAAACCCCTAAATTAAAAATCTAAGTTAATTAGATAGCGATCACGTGACCCTGTGACGTCAAAGACGACAATGGCTGATCAGCTCTTCATTAATCTTACTAAAATATACACGATACAACCTGAATTTTCTGCGTTGTGGACGACCAAATCACTTATTTTATTGATATAAAATTGAAAATTCAACCTTATATGTTAGAAATGTCAGCAAGAAAAAATCTGTTTACATTGTAAAAATAGCAGCGACGATAGCGAGGGAGACTCAGCGAAGACGAAGAAACTCGCCATAACAATGCAATTTGATTTGTCATCTTATCACATGTATTAACTCATTTGATTCACAAATTAAACATTACTTTGTTATTCTTCGTTTTGTATATAATATTAATTTATGCAAGTCTTCATATGTTTTTTAAAGGATGGCGATCTTGAAAAATAATATCCTGATCACGAAACATTGCCGTAATTAGAGCTACAGATTCTAAATGTTTTGAATAAGAAACGAAAATATTTTAAAAGCCTTATACCTTAGAACTAATTAATGTTTCTATAGTTATTGAAAAGCAAATAAGGAATTAATTTTTTCAGCATTTTTCGTAATTTAGCGGCATTTGTCATTGATAACTCCATTAATAGTTTGCATATTCTCATCTCTCTATCACCGAAGTGTCGCCTATGACGTCAGAGCCATTTTTCCAGTATTTCGCCGAAATCCGACTGAAATATGCATATTGCCATATTTGAATTTCAACTCTCAATATCTCTTAAAATATGCTTTCAACAACGTTTATTGTATTCAGTATTTCAATAAATAAGATTATAGATAATATTTTTCATAAAATTACGATTTTTGAAAGATCATGCGATAAGTCCTTTAAAATGAGATAGTCTAATGGGCTATTTCATTCTCCAGATTAGTTTCGCACTTTACATATTTTCTGTTTATATAACATTGTCTTTAAGTACTTTAATTTGCATAATTAAGGAATTGCAATTCAGTAGACCTTTTCTGATTTCTTTTTTAAATGGGCTAAAATGCCTAAATGGCAACACTTTTTTGTTTGAAAATGTGAAAAAAATGAAAACTGAAAAATAATTATAACTTCTTTATTTTTTAAACCAATTTCAATAATAAAACTGTTTTGGAAATGGTTTTAAAACCTCTTAGTTATAAGTACATGTATAAAGTGTTGCTTTTTACAGGTCCAGCAAAATCTCTTGATTTAGCTATATAGCTTGAAATAGCTATATAACCTTTATTAAGCTATTCAAAATAGCTTGATGAAGCTATTTAAATGCAGTTTTTCAGAAAAATGTTTGTTTTTTTTTTTTTGTAAGAAATAGACAAAAAGTCGCAAGTATTTGACTGTTCATATATTTACTATGGGTGATCAAAACAACAACAGACATTAAAGAAAGTTCTAACTTTGCAACATTTGAATACTTTTAAGCAAAAGTTTAATTTCCATTGTTTGAGTACCCTGTGTGCTTGAGGCATGGATAAGTATGATTGCTTCTCATTGTACAATCAATAATCTTATTGACCAAAATGGGCCCCCTTTATAATTTCATTATAGAAGTAACTGTATCAATTGCTTTATATAGCCCCAAAACGTTTAGAACTTTGAGTACAAAGTTTCATAAGGAAATGCAATTTGATGAGTGATTTTTACATGCATCATTTTCAGAAGAGTTCAAGGTTGAATATTATCACTGCACCAAAGTGCGACTTTTTGTGCATACTGAGAAAATATCCCATTTAAGAAAAGGTGTGATAAAATAGCTAAATCAAGCTATTCTGAAGAACTTAATCAAGCTATGTAGCTAAATCAAGAGATTGTGCCAGACCTGATTTAATTTAAAAATCACGTTTCATAGTTAGATCAACAAAGCTGGTCCATATTTCGCCATCAATGACCAGCTCATTCAGCTATTTATCAGAAATTTATAAAAAGTTGTGATAATTAAGCCAGGCTGTTCATTATCTGCACTTGCTTACCTTCATCCTAAGTCGACAGGTCGACAGCCAGTTCTAAATCCCAAGGCCATACTAAGTGTAGGTCTATTACGGCAGATATTATATGTATACATCAGCCAAGACGATACCAGGCATCACAGAGTCATTATTCATTAATAATATACTTGAATTCTTTCACTAGCGCTAGGAAAAAGAAACCGAACAATTCAGACGAACCTCCATTATTATAATGAACTATGAAGCACACCACATGGCGAAATCATGATCGCCATTTGTATCAAATTCAAACTCCGATCCCGATTCTTACATGCATAAATAAACGATTAATTTCATCTAAGTTACGATTGATTATTTTAAAAAAAGATACCATTAAATCATTGATCGATATAAAGAGAGAAAAAATTTTCAAAAATATGTGCGATCCGTTTTTTTTTTCTTTTTAAATTCATGTCTAGAACACAAAGTTTACTCAATAAATTATTTCAAAAGCTCAGGAGCGAACCTCGTTTTAAATATTTTTGAATAATTATATTCATCGAAAAATGAAAAAAAAAAATCGGATAAAAGAAATCTATGGGATTCAAGTCGTGTAAGTAAGGAAAATTGAAATTATTTTACTTGTATATCACAAAACAGAGGGAAAATCTATGATTGTAATTCTTTCATATCTTTATGAGTAATTAATCAAATTAACTTTAAAAAATGATAGATATGCAATTTACACATGGATTTAATTTATCAAATCAATTTTTTAGAAAAAAATGAAAAAAAAAATCCAAAATTGTTTCTCCTACATCCCGATTTATTATGCACATATTTTATGTTATTTGAACTTTGTCGATGTGGAAAAGTTTTGGGGAAAAACATATTTCTATTCCAGGTTTAATCGGGATCAATAGATGCGCAACTCTCTCTCTCTCTCTCTCTCTCTCTCTCTCTCTCTCGCTCGTACACACAACTTAATTCTTCTTTCTTAAAGGAATTTTAAAAAAACGTAACCCCCTCTTGATCCACCACTGCACGTGAATATGTATGGATGCATTTTTGACCTACATACATGTACATGTATCATAAGCATTGCGCTCGTTAATATCACGCTTTGGGTCGTCTGCATAGGAATAGAGCGTGCTTGTCTATCGATTACAACTTGTACAAAGATCTAGTAAAGATTTGATTTTAAAAGAAGGAGGAGGGGGTCATGGTGTCAATATGATTTGCAAGAAAAATGTTCAATAGTATTGATGACAAACAACCTTATTACGCACTGTACCATACATGTATTTGCTATCTACAGTATCAAAAACATGCTAATAATGAAAGGAAGAATGACTAGTCTTAAGCTTTCTGGTCATGACACATTTATTAGTCATTATAATATTACGTTATCATTAGACAAGGAGCTAGGTGAACCATATTACTATATGATGCCATTTTATACTCAATACTGTAAAAACTCAAGATTAATTATACCTTAAAAGATTTTTAAAACAATCCTGGAAAACTAAATATTTGTTAGATTATTCAAACAATAATTCAATGAAAAAATCGTTGGTGTAAATCAGCTCCTATAACCACAACTATTGTATATTGTCAAATATAAAAGTCTGAATTATATTGACTTTCATGTATTATATCTTTCTGTTAAAACGTATAAACTATAGATCGAAATGCAACTGTTAATTAATATATATCAGGTGTCGCAATTTTAACCCCCCCCCCCCAAAAAAAAAAATCAGGGAGTAAGTGAATTATAATTGTGATGCATATTTGGGTAAAGTAAAACATGTGAAAATTGTATACAGACAAATGACATCTTTTACTAAAGTGGATAAATCTACTGATTGTCTTTAGCTACTTCTCTAAAGAGAATACAGTCGGGGGGGGAGGGGGGATACTTGACAAGCAATTAATTGCAATTTTTTTTAAAGAAAATTTTGGTCTCATACATTTATAGACATGAACAATAGCTTCATCTTTTATTATCTTTTTATTAGTATATAAGTATTATCAGGGGAGGGGGACTTTTCTTACATCATTTGAAGCATAATTATACAAAATAACAAATGAAATAACTGGTTATATGTCTAGATGCACTACATTTCAAAGAATAAAATTAAAGGTAGACAACACAGATTCCCTATTCTACAAAATATGATATGATTTTATAGTTTATATTTTGAAACTTGTATTTTTACTCTTTATTTATTATAATTCCTTCCAACTCAGCATTGAACTGTACCCCACTCATTTTTGGACGAAGTAATTCTTATGTAGCTACTAGCAATGCTTAATTGTAGTATAGGATCATCGAATGATCTTTATCATCTTGTCAAAAGAACTTACCGGCACATACATTCTAAATGGCTATCTGAGACATGCACCAGACCCTCCCTACAAGGTTATGATCATACGATTTTGCTTAAGCAAACAAATTAAAAAGTTTGTAACATCTTGTTTCTTTTCCCTTTTTTAGTACGTATGAGATCCAATTTCATTTTACAAAATCAAAGATAAAATCATATGCCATTTGTTCTCGACATTATTCTGACACATGCATTATAATTAAATAAGATTTAAAGACACAGCAAGACCCCCAATGAGCCTCTCGTTTACACCTCTGAATGCCAGACTGATAAGCTCGGGAACACAAATTTTTTGACCTATATTACCCTGCTTTTTAACAGAGATGTCTGCATAGGAATGCGGTGTTACTGTATCAATTTACAACATGTGCAGAAAACCAAAGCTAGCTAGCAAGGTTTTGTCTAAATCCTCTTCTCTGGAGGGGGGAGGGGGGTCTCGAAAAAAAGAATTATAGATCTTAATATGAATAAAATAGCATAGCATTTATATTACAATATCAGGGATCTAATGGGCATTAACATATAATATATATTATAACAGACAAACACAATGAAGAGTAATTTTTCGAGTTAGTACATTTTTGATACTTCTAAAATTTCATATGTAGACATGGGTTATTATAATTAATTTATGTAATATTCAATAATCACTGTACATCATCAAAATATATCATCCAACAACATATGTCACATTGTGGTAACAAGTAAATTGCTACCATTTCCCTTCTTAAAGCCTGTACACCTAGTGGATTTCAAATCATTCCTAAAATTCATGAAAATCTTACAGCTATGAAATGAATATGATGATTTCAAAGTAATAAAGTCCCTAATTTTTCCCTAATAATAAGAGTGGATCATCATTTTCTCATATTCTATCACAAATTTACTTCTATAAATTCCCTAATTCTTCTTCATGGACAAAATAAATCATTTACAACAATTGGAATTTGAAGTTTTGATTCACTCAATCAATATATATAGAAAATACCTTAACTTTATTATTCCCTGTTTCAATCCAATTAGCTTGTGCTCATGTGCACAAGGGAATTTGGGTGAAAAAAACTAAGTCCAATTTGAATAATCATTTTCAGCTTTCTTTAGAATTTCAGAAGGATTTCATGAAATCTTTCATCCACCCTTACTTGGCATTGGCAAAGTGATGAAGATGACACTAAACATTCAATAATCACTGTACATCATCAAAATATATCATCCAACATCATATCTCACATTGCGGTAACAAGTAAAATGCTACCATTTCCCTTCTTAAAGCCTGTACACCTAGTGGATTTCAAATCATTCCTAAAATTCATGAAAATCTTACAGCTATGAAATGAATATGATGATTTCAAAGTAATAAAGTCCCTTATTCTTCCCTAATAATAAGAATGGATCATCAATTTCTCATATTCTGTCACATATTTACTTCTAAAAATTCCCTAATTCTTCTTCATGGACAAAATAAATCATTTTCATGCAATTGCATTTAGAAGTTTAGATTCACTCAATCAATATATATAGAAAATACCTTAACTTATTCCCTGTTTCAATCCAATTAGCTTGTGCTCATGTGCACAAGGGAATTTGGGTGAAAAAAACTAAGTCCAATTTGAATAATCATTTTCAGCTTTCTTTAGAATTTCAGAAGGATTTCATGAAATCTTTCATCCACCCTTACTTGGCATTGGCAAAGTGATGAAGATGACACTAAACATTCAATAATCACTGTACATCATCAAAATATATCATCCAACATCATATCTCACATTGCTGTAACAAGTAAATTGCTACCATTTCCCTTCTTAAAGCCTGTACACCTAGTGGATTTCAAATCATTCCTAAAATTCATGAAAATCTTACAGCTATGAAATGAATATGATGATTTCAAAGTAATAAAGTCCCTTATTCTTCCCTAATAATAAGTATGGATCATCAATTTCTCATATTCTGTCACAAATTTACATCTAAAAATTCCCTAATTCTTCTTCATGGACAAAATAAATCATTTTCATGCAATTGGATTTTGAAGTTCTCAATCACTCAATCAATATATATAGAAAATACCTTCAATTATTCCCTGTTTCAATCCAATTAGCTTGTGCTCATGTGCACAAGGGAATTTGGGTGAAAAAAACTAAGTCCAATTTGAATAATCATTTTCAGCTTTCTTTAGAATTTCAGAAGGATTTCATGAAATCTTTCATCCACCCTTACTTGGCATTGGCAAAGTGATGAAGATGACACTAAACATTCAATAATCACTGTACATCATCAAAATATATCATCCAACATCATATCTCACATTGCGGTAACAAGTAAAATGCTACCATTTCCCTTCTTAAAGCCTGTACACCTAGTGGATTTCAAATCATTCCTAAAATTCATGAAAATCTTACAGCTATGAAATGAATATGATGATTTCAAAGTAATAAAGTCCCTAATTCTTCCCTAATAATAAGAATGGATCATCATTTTCTCATATTCTGTCACAAATTTACATCTAAAAATTCCCTAATTCTTCTTCATGGACAAAATAAATCATTTTCATGCAATTGCATTTTGAAGTTTTGATTCACTCAATCAATGTATATAGAAAATACCTTAACTTATTTCCTGTTTCAATCCAATTAGCTTGTGCTCATGTGCACAAGGGAATTTGGGTGAAAAAAACTAAGTCCAATTTGAATAATCATTTTCAGCTTTCTTTAGAATTTCAGAAGGATTTCATGAAATCTTTCATCCAACCTTACTTGGCATTGGCAAAGTGATGAAGATGACACTAAACATTCAATAATCACTGTACATCATCAAAATATATCATCCAACATCATATCTCACATTGCAGTAACAAGTAAAATGCTACCATTTCACTTCTTAAAGCCTGTACACCTAGTGGATTTCAAATCATT